TATGCGTACATACATACATATATACATAAATACATACATACATACATACATACATATATGCGCACATACATACATACATACATACACGCCTACATAAGTACATAGATGCATAAATACATACATATATATATATATACGTATATCTACTGCGTGTATCGTGAGTTATGTACGTGTGTCTTTGTTTTTCGTCGTAAAACACTCAAGCAAATAGTTATTCGCATGATTTTATTTTGTGATGTCTGTATTTTTCCCTAGGAGCTTGGACAACCAATATTCTGCAAGCAATGAGCGAATATAGTCCGATACTTAGGCCTTTCAAAATCGCTGTATGAGAGTATGAGGCTGCCATGGGTTTTCAGATATCGTTCACTTTAAGTGGTAGTGTTGATATTATGCTCACGAGTGCGGTTCAACATAGCCGAAGCCTGTATGTCTAAGCTACCTCGGAATTGACTCAGCCCACTAATCCACTGTATCTTCTCACGAATTGCAGAAATGATCGCCCGTTGCTGCTGGTCAGCAGCACGTCCTGGACCGCCGACGAGGATTTCGGCGTTCTGTTAAAATCTCTAGAGATATACGATGCACAAGCAAGTAACGGCACTAAACATCCCGATATAGTATGCATCATCACCGGTAAAGGCCCTATGAAGGCCCATTATATGGAGGTCATAGCCCAGAAATCGCTTGCGCATGTGCAAGTGTATACGATGTGGTTGGAGGCCGAGGACTACCCCAAGCTGCTAGGTGCTGCGGATATAGGCGTGTCTTTGCACTATTCGTCATCAGGTAAATACAACTAAATAGTTCAGAATCGAAATGCCGTAGTGTGCGCTTCGAAGCAGGCACGTCAAACATTGGATGGTTATTCTGTCGTTCCCAATCTTAAGTCACGCGCAGTCACTCGCTGTTATATTGCAAATAGTTATAGAACGCATATACTTTAGTCAGTGTCGGCGTCGGCACCTTATGGGTTTTTAATAGTATGTGTTCGCTTACTGTCACAGCGCAATACTATCGCTCTGTCCCGGATGTATTATTTAGTTGCATTGACAATATTTAATACAGGCTTGGATCTGCCGATGAAGGTGGTGGATATGTTTGGGTGCTCACTTCCAGTGTGCGCAATTGATTTCGACTGCTTAGATGAGCTCGTGAAGGATAATGTAAATGGGAAAGTGTTTGACACATCTGCCACGCTCGCTAGTCATTTCGAGGTGTGTACGTGTGTGCGGGGTTTTTTCAGACTCGTTTTAGGTTGAACTTTCTAACTTGCTATTTATAAAACGAAGTGTGTGTAGATTCACGGAGTATTGATAGATAATTATGCTGCGATTGTGGATTTGTATTTGCATTTTGTAGCCCGGGATGCCAAATGACTGAAGTTGCGCTATACCATGCCTGCAGTATACTGATATATATGTCTTCTTGAACACTGGTGGTTATGTTTTGGGTTTGTGTGTCTGTGTGACATGTCCTCACTTATTTGCACTATTTTAGCCGACACTTATACCACTAGCTGCGCTCGCTTGATTTTGTCTGCTCAGCCGCTGTTACGTACTCATTTTATGCTTCTTCTCTATTTCTCTATTCATTGTCGCTTCGTAGACGTTGTTTGAAGGTTTTCCAACGCATTGCGAGAAGCTCGAGAGCCTCCGAAGTGGAACAGAAGAATTCAGAAGGATACGATGGAATGAGGTGTGCTTAGTTCGTATACGTGATGTTCCTTCGTGCGTATTACATCAAACTGTGAGAAAATTTGTGAGGCATGCTCGGGTGAAATTTAAATGATGAGGATAGTAATAGTGTAAACGTGTCTATGTACGTATCAAATGTGTGGATTGGTTTGGGCTATAGTTTTGAACGAAAAAAGACGATACCATGCGCGTACATGAAAGTATGGACTCTCGCTTACTATGAAGACATCACATGATACAATACCGTGTATATGTTTTAGTGTTGCAAACGTATTATGTATTGTTGCAAATGTATTCTAATATCATGTAAATACAATTGTTAGCCATTGTTACAGGTGTTTATAAGAAATTAGATGTCAATTTGATTGTTGATGTCTTCACATAAGTCGCGATATTGATATTGAATGGTGAGATTCGACAGCATTAGGACAAAGCTCAGATGTATATGGCGGGCATGTGCATATCATCAGACACTCCCGGTAGTCTTTAATTTACATGTCGTTTACTGGTATACGCCAATGCGTTTTAACGCAAAATGCGATCACACCTCAACCAGATAGTGTCTACGATATTGTAGGAATCCCCTTCATGCCGAGTACGTTTGGTGCGTGATTGTATGTCCTTGAGGTTACATGCGCCGATCTGCTGTCAGCTCATTTTACTTAATACGTCGTAGTTGTTCATGACATTTTTCACTCATCCTAGTTTGTCGACCTTCGAATATTCTAGAAGCGAAAACGGCCCTCCATAAGTACAATAGTGGTATGAAAATGATTTTTGTTCTACGTCGAATTGGCAGAGGGGTTTGACAGGCATATTTTGATCTCAGCCGCACAAAAATGCCCTCATAAGTTTTGTATTCGATGTCCTTTACACGTATTCGCTATGATTACAAGCTTTCGGTTGTGATGGATATGCTTCGATAATAGTGCTGTCCTTCGCTTCCACCTGTGGCTGTGGTCAATCCGTACTCGTGAACCTCATCTCTTACTCAAATGACCGAGCGATTTTCTTCACTTACAGAGCTGGGATGAAACTGCATGGCCAATTATGATGGAGGCAATGAGGTGACAAGACTCCCAGGGTTTTGGAGTTAAATCGCCAGGACTGTCACACTATGCAGTCGAGTATTTCTATTCACTCTCTGAGAGTTCGCATAACAATTGCCTCGGAGATATGCAGAACTTACAATACACTCCGAAAATTAAGTAGCCTTCGTGATGCTAACTTTGAAATCTTTAACAAGGTATTGCAAGGCCCGACAGCGAAATGTGTTAATAGATAGGCCAAACAATGATTACTAATATTCAACCTGCAAATATTCGCTTTTTAATACGACAAATCCTATCTCGCTGGGTGCTAGAACGAGCAGATCGTATGCGACATTGATCACGCACAGGACCGAAATTTGCACCGTATAATAACCTGATGTGAGAGGAAACAGTGTTTCACCGGCCCGGGGTGCATACTGATGTACAGTTTAACCACCTTGAGTGTGCTAGACAATTCGAATGCAAAAAAAAAAATGGAGTAAACCGATACCAGCCGGCTTTTCAAAACACGTCCGGTCTCATATGGGATCCGTGACATTCTCGTTAGCCACGAACGATCCGCGAGTGGATAGCAGATAAATAATGTGGTGCTACTAAGATAGAACAGCATAAATGACTACGAATCCCAAAGCAAATATATTGTGCGGCGCGTAGTTTCACATTTGACAGATGATAAAAATGCAGCAGGTGTGCCTCTGCGGGTTGAAACCAATATCATTAAAAACTAGCTGTAGTGTTTTTATACAAGCAATATACTATATATACTACATACCTGGTCCAAAGTGACCTTTCGTTGAAAGTTGTCAGTTGTGAATTAGAAGACTAAAAGTTCGAAGCAAATGTTACACCTGCTGTTTCCTGTGTACAGCATAAGAGTTTTACGTTCTTGAGAACAATTGCAACTAAAGACGTGTTTGGATTACCATATCAAAATCTTATCTTGCGTTAATTACTGCACAGGTATTGTATAATATAACTTACGAGCATGTAATAGTCGAAATTAATACCATCAAGTCCTGTATTGTATCCTACCCTCTCGACCACCCCGACAGGGCTCTTCGTGGACGTCCGGTTCCCTTTTCTCTTTCCCCCAGATGATATATAGACTTTGTAGACAGATGATCTACAAGGAGGACTACCCCCCTTCATGGCTATGTCTGCTCAGAGTCCCATTCTCAAAGTGTCGGCCCCAAATTCGGCCGCTCATTTTCGACCCATCTCGCTTACCCAAATTCTACGGAGAGTATTTGAATTAGCAATAATATCCACAATCCACCACAACAAAGTGTTCAGGTACTGCCGTTCACAGGCAGGGTATCGAATTGGATACTCTGCTCTCGACCATGCCCTGACATTACGTGAACGTATCGCGATGCGCATTAGACGACGCAATCGTTCCTTCAATCACCACCTAGTCTTCTTAGATCTTACACATGAATACGATCGTGTAAACCACATATCTCTGTCCCAAATTCTCCAGAACCGTGGAGTGCGCTAACTAGTTACCACTATGTGTACAAGTATGCTTCAAAACCACACTTCACGAGTACTATCCCACGGTAAACTCTTCGATTCCTTCATACGTCCCCCTCATGCTATTACTTTTCAAACTCTATATAGACATATCTCATATCGCTTAGACGACACATCTCGTATCGCCTTTCTAGTTCGACACTAACGAGTACAGGATAATATTCATTGTATGCAACTTGTGGGCCATCGACTCAGCAATGAAATTCAATTGACAGAAATTCGAATTATGTCTGGTTCCCACACTAATCGTCCGTCGGACTCTGCTTTAGGTCATGTCCCTACTGTCAAGTCATATAAGTACTTAGACCTCCTTTTTAACAACCAAGAGATCATGTTTCGTTTAGTGACCAATACAGCTGCATATTTCGGTTTCCACTCTGGATCGCAACTACACCCAAAAATAAACTACTGATATACAAAGTGTGTTGGAGTGAATTTAAAACCCAAACTAACCCTAGATATATTTGGTGTCAGGGTGTCAAAGTGTCATGTTGAGCAAATACAGCATGGACTACATGTCGTAGAATATTGTGAATATGTACATATTAGACCTACAATATGATAATAAACCTACTTGTAAATATATGTTCTAACAGGTTATGGGTATACTTAGTACCATTTTTTTTATTCAGTCACTATCACCCAGGCAACAACCACCCAAACACCCCCGTACCTAGTACCAACATCTCACCCTCAAGATGTCAGATTCAACTCAACCAAAAGGGGTCCTCATACCCCGATCTACTTTCACAAACTTCGATTCCGCCACAAGATTTCGCACAGACTTCTTCCTTCGCCTTGACGCTTATCAATCCATCACCCACGCCAACCAGCACCTCCACCTACTCAACAAAACTCTTGACCACATCCTTGACCCCGACAACCACCCACCAGTGCATCCCATCACTATATACCTCGCAGCACATGCTGCTTTCTCAGACCTCGCAACCACGCGTGCGATCGCTGAACGGAATGACGCGCATGCTACACACACTACTGAATACAACACTCTTAGTGCCACTACTGACGAACACGAGGTCACCATCTACGTCCTCAAAGAAGAAAAGGACTCCTTACTCGACAAATTCAAGGAGGCTCGTGCACAGCGTGATGCCAACTTTACCTCCAACCTCGAAGAAATCCTCGAACATCTCCAGCAGTCAAGGACATTCTCATCACCAAACTCGAAAGCGCCCGCAAGGAACGCGACGACACCCAAACCAACCTCACTGCCTGCATCGCCGATCGCAACTCACTGAACGAACAGCTTGGTCACTTTCACGCATCCCCTCACCCCGACACATCCGATCTCGCCGCCGACAACAAGCGCCTTCACAAAATCCACGATGATTCCGTCGCCAAAGCCACCGCCCACACTTACACTATCTCTGAACTCCGTGTCGCCAATATCCAGCTCGAAGCCACCATCTCCTCTCTCCGAAACGAACACGATGAACTCCTCACTGCCACTCTCCCCGAAATGGTTACCATACAGGCATTCCTCCACATCGCCCACACAGACATCGCGCAACTCAAAACACAACTCGACAAAGCACGCTCCCAGCCCGTCGTCACCGACTCCACCACCCTTCGTCACCGTCTCCTTCTTGCCGAGCAAAACCTTCGCCGTATGGCCGGTCCTCAGACACCACCGATTACTTCACCCCCATACTCCCCCTTCGGTACCTCTCACACTCAATCCACGCAACAGCTCCACAACCTCCCTGCCTCCCGCACCGGCACTGCCAACGCCTTCAAATACAATGGCACATATGCAGCCACCAAGCTCACGAGAGATAAAAACTTCACTAATTGGCACAGACAGTTCAGATATACGATGAAGAAGCACGACGTCCTCCACACCCTGCACCCCAACACTACTGCCGATGATGCCGAGCTCACCGTCGGCACTACGATTCTCTTTGAATCCCTTGGCCCCGGCCTCTCCGAGCAATACGACACATGTCTCGACCAACCCCCGAGTTTTTTCTATCAACGTATCTGCCAAGATTTTAACTCCGTCACGATTGGCCGCATTTGGGAACTCTTAGTGTAACCCCTCACGCTTCCACAACAACCCTCCTTAGACGACAGCGTCGCTAAGGTATCTCTGCTCAGGGACCAACTCAAAGGCCTCAATACCACCATGCCTAAATACTAACACATCTGCTCCCTCCTTCAATCCCTGCCAGACAGCTTCCAGCTCATCGCACAGGATATCATGGCCACTACCGACATCAATGCCTCAATGCCAGTGCAGTACTCAATAGCTCCTCTCTCTATGGCGTAGTCAGTACTCGCTTTCAATCACGTGGTCATGGCACCGATACCCCCAGGCGCCCACCCATTGGCATAAACTCTACCACCGGTAACTGCGCCGCCTATACACAACCTGGCCACAATGCATATGAGTGTCCCAACACTACCTGCCGCCGATGTGGTAGCAAAGACCACAAAGGGAATACCTGCACCACCACAGGCAAACTCACATGCGACCATTGTAGACACTCCACCGGCCACACGACTGCAGCGTGTATTCGCGGCAAATGCAACTCATCTACCACTGCCACCAACTGAGATGCCAGGGTAACGCGCGCCACCCACCCCAACCTCTCCTCCAATACCACCCTCCCAACCCACTATACTGTGCAATCTCTCACTCTGCGCGCAAAGCCCCGCACCGATACCGCCTTCATCGACTCAGGGACAGATATCTCCATCGTCACCTCCACCGATCACCTCACCGACCTTCAGTCCGGCACATATATTATTGAACTGGCTGGCGGCTCTACTACCACCACATACACACGCGGTACCATCCCTGGCATCGGCCCTGCCTTCGTGCTACCCACCGCTGCCCATCAATCTATCCTCTCCGTCCGCAACCTCCAACGCAATGGCTATACAGTCACTTTCCCCGAGATCAACACACCCAATAATCCCGGCGAGTGTCACATCACCTACGGAACTGACACCATTCAGATCGTCACCGAAGCCGCCGGTCGCTACATACTCAACGCCTTCCAAGCTGAGAACCTCACGCTTCGGACACCAGTCCACACGCGCCACCAAAGCTATGGCTATTGCTAACAACCTCCCCATCAAACCGCCAATAGCCTACTGCAACGATTACCAACTCGCACCCGATCTCTTCGAAGACCACGTCCAAAAACCCTTCGGTCTCATCGACATCGACTTGTTTGCATCCAAACATAACAAGCAAGTACCCGCTTACTGTACTGAAGACTACATCGACAAAGTCACGCCCTACCACGATACATATAAACAAAACTAGCACCAACCCAACAAGAAGCTCTACGGCAATCAACCATGGAAGAACTTCTTCAAAAGCTGTCGCAAACTCGACAAAGACGCCGGCCGGGTCATCATGGTCTTCCTGTGAAACCGCGCGCCTCCTGGTGGACACAACTCATGGACCACCTCCAACCTCACGTCGAAAGTATCACATCATCGCCCAACACCTTCATCCGCCGTGGCTCCGATGGCTCTCAAGAGTTCGTTACCAATCCACCTTGGCTCTACACTGGTGTCGCTCTTTTCGGACCCACCAAATACGCAGTCCCCATTTCCGCCGGCCTCCAAACCGCCATTGACATCTTTATCCTCCACTCCGGCAAACCTGAATGCACTTGCACCTCCTGCGCGAGAGGCAAGATGCGCAAGAAAGCCACTAGCAACAAGCCCCGTTCTCTTCCCGACATAGGCTCCGAATGGCAAGTCGACCTTGAAGGGAAATTCGAAGAAAGCTACGGGGGCCACGCCTATACTATCCGCTACTTTGAACGTACTTCTGGTCTCGAATACGAGGAAAACCTCAAGCACAAAAACGACGCCGCTGCCACCCTTGACCGCTTTTACACCTGGATTGAGAACATAGGCCGCCGTCGCATACGCACTGTTATTGCCGACCGCGGTGGTGAGTTCATTTCCGCCGAATTCAAACGAGTGAACCATCTACATCATGCACAAATCCTATACAACGGTACTGACGACTCTGCCCAACACGGCGGCGTTGAACGTGGTCTCCAGGCAAATAAGAAGACTGCTCTCTGCCTCATCGCCCAATGCAAGCAACTCAGACACATGTGGGCGGAAGCTAAGTCTCACGCCACCCACCTACACAATATCTCTCCTCGTGACACCAACCCCGGCCGTGCCAGCCCCTACGAGCACTTCTTCGGCCGTACACTCACCGCCCACGTGCACGCATTACGAGTATATGGCTGTATTACCATGTTTATCGACCATGGTAACAAAGATAAGCTCCGTGAACAAGTTTGCTTCGGCGTTCTCCTTGCTCGCGATCTCTTCTCCAGAAACCCTGAAGAATACCGCATGCTCAACACCGCCACAGGCCTAGTCATCACCACACGTCACGTAACATTCAACGAAGGAATCTTCCCACTTTGGAAATCACACGGGTCCAAATCCCGCCCATATTTCACCGAGGACCAAATCTCCAAGGTTAACACATATCGTGACACTCTCCCATCACTCCCCACGGATCCACAAAGCGAATCCACTGACCCCGAGCCCACGCTCACTCACGAGCCGCTCACCACACCCAGTTCACACACAGAGGACATGCCCTCCACCAACCCCATTTCAGCAACCTCCGACAACCCTGTATCCCCTGATCTCCATGAGCGCCTCCAAGCCGCCACTCAGCGTGTCGCTCGCTCCACAAAGTCAACACCTACTGCACGGCAAGCGGACAAGGCACACATTAGCACTGACGCACACCACACACAACAACCTGCCAAAGCCGCCCAACTCGACCGTGCTGCTCAGGAACAAGCATGCATCCTCGGCAACGCATACAATGACAGGCTACAACAACACATCCGTAAACGTCCCAACTCCCGTGAACTACGCAACCTTCTCATCGACACATGTGACAACACACATCACACCGGCATACCTGCCATTACGTCCAACCCTCCTCCACTCACGCGGAAAGTACGTAAGCATGTCTACAGTGTGTGCGAATCTATACAAAACTCACCAATCACCCCTACTACCATCAACCAAGCACTGAAATCCCCTGAAGCTGACCTCTGGCGCGCGGCCATTCAACGCGAGCTTGACAGCCTCCACAGTACCGGCACAAACGTCCTTTGTGATGCCACTGACCTCCCACCTGACGTACTTACCGTCACATCTAAGTGGGTCTTCAAGATCAAGATGATCAATGGCGTCATCGACAAGTACATGGCTCGGCTAGTCGCTCGCGGATCCACACAAACCAAGGACGTCAACTTCACGGAAACCTACGCACCCACCTGCACTCACGACAATCTCCGCACACTCCTCGCTATTGCCGCCAACCAGGGCTGGCACACAAAGCAGATGGATGTCAACATCGCATTTCTTCACGCTGATCTCGACCACCCGATCTACATGAAAGCTCCATCGGGCCCCGCACAAATCGGCCTTGTCCCTTCCAAAATCCTCGAACTCAAAAAGTCCCTGTACGGGCTCAAGCAGTCCGGCAAGCTCTGTTTCTCACTGATCAAATCCAAACTTCTCTTCTTCGGCTTCACCCAAGCCCACACTGACAGATGCCTCTTTCACATCCGCACCCCCACATATAACTGCACAGTGCTTATATATTTCGACGACCTCATTATCTGCGGCTTTACCCAAAAAGATGTGGACAAATTCAAGCGACAACTCCTTGCCGTCTTCGACTGTTCCATACTCGGAGAGCCCGCCTAGCTATTAGGTTGTCGTATCGTCACCAACGACATATCCACTAGCGTTGTCCAGACCTCCTACATCGACGAGGCCGTCCAACACTTCGGCCTTGAGTCTGCCCACGCCGTCCACACGCCCCTCCCTGCAACTACCCTTTCCGCCCACCATGGCCCGCCCTTCCCCTGCGCGTACCGCGAACTCGTCGGCACTCTCCTCTACCTATCCATCCTCGTCCGTATTGACATCACCTTCGCCGTGAACACTCTTTCGCGATTCCTCAATAACCCCAGCGAGGACCGCTGGAACGTAGCATGCAGAGTCCTACGCTACCTCAAAACACACCCAACACTCGGACTCACATACACAAAGTGTCCACAACCCCTTTCCACCGACGCATACACAGACTCAGACTATGCTAGTTGCCCTGACACACGTCGATCAACGACAGGCTACGTCATCCGTGTTTGCAACACACCCGTTATCTGGAAAAGCAGGCAACAGAAAACAGTCAGTACCAAGCCCGCTGAGGCAGAGTACTTTGCCACCAGTGAGGCCGCCAAACACATACAGTGGCTGCGTAACTTCCTGTCCGAACTCAACCTCGCATCTGACAGCCCGACCACACTCTTCTATTGCGATAACAAGTCTGCTGTCCACGTAATTACCAACACGGGCACGCCAAAACAACTAAAACACATCGACATCCGTGTGCAAAATATCCGCGATCTGCAGGAACAAGGCGTGATTGACACCAAATACGTCGCCACTTCCGATTACATCGCAGACTATCTCACCAAAAGCCTGCCACGCCCCGCACACAGTAAACATACCAGTTCGACGCTTACCCCGGTGCAAGATCCCGACGCTCGTGCCGATGCCACACCTACCACCAACCTCATCGCAGCCTTTTCTCACTCCAGCGAATTCGAACACACACATATGGCTAACACTATCTTTCGAGTTTGTTTCCTACATGAAGCTAACTAGATCCAGGAGAGTTACACACATGGTCCAACTTCCCGACTTTCTATCACAACACACCACATTGGCACCAAATCCAGTGAGAGGAGAGCCATCCATCTCATACTTCCGAACCCAACCTCGCTTCACATCGCACGCGCTTCACACCACATTTGGTTTTCAAATTCAGGAGAGTGTTGGAGCAAATTTAAAACCCAAACTAACCCTAGAGATATTTGGTGTCAGAGTGTCAAAGTGTCATGTTGAGCAAATACAGCATGGTACACACGCCGTAGAATATTGTGAATATGTACATATTAGACCTACAATATGATAACAAACTTACTTGTAAATATATGTTCTAACAAAATGTTTATTCAATTTATGGTCTTAGTATCATAGCACTTACATCCCCACACATCTCTACAGCTGCGAATCTCAGGCGAAGTAGTTTCCAACCTAGATAAACTTATACTCAAACGAGATGTCACTGTCTGCAGCAGACGCTCGGCACCAGCTAACTCCAGACCGTACAGACGACGAAATCGTCTATAGTTTACCGGCTCGTCAGGTGCTGAACAACTTACTCAGTTCTTAGGCACTACACTGTGGACACTAGTTCACACCGTTCTTGAGCTATTAATCATCCCTTGTCTGTTATAGTCCCTATTTCTGCAGAGGGTATCCAGTACTCGCTCGAGCATCAGTCCTCATACCTAGCCTACCATGATCCGGGACATAAAATTCACTACCAATTTCGACAGTTGAACGCCATTCTCCAACGGGAGATCTGTGATCAAGCTCGTACTGAAACATGGCACCTGGTAATACGTAACTACAAGATATCGCATCGAAATATATAGATACAGTCTTTGAAGCACGGTCAGCATCCACTATAATCGCCAAGCTCCTTTGGTTAATGCACGCATTTTGGTTCACCATCGGTACTTTCCCTATAGGCGGCTTTTGCAGTTTTCCATGCCCTGTACACACTCCAGTTACCTTCACCTCATCACACTCTGGGTGTGTCGACTGGATTCCGCGTCGCCTCACAGGCCCCATTCCATCTACATCAAATTCGGTTCTCTCACATCTTGTGAAAAGATAGGCTTGAATCCATATCGTTACCATAAACTTGCATTTAATATAGTTCCTACCTCTCATGCAAATCATCAGCATCTCTTAACAAGAACAGGCGCTGACTTCCCAGTGCTAATCCACGCCATTATTTTTACATTCCAGATTATCCAGGTGCTTTTACAACAGCACAGCGAGCACTCTACCCTCCCACATCAGCTACATCTATTCGCCCCTATCACTCGATATGTATCCCAGACGATCGCATCTTTTCTATAGGCCTCGACGTCAGACACAATCTTCTTATCGTTGGCTTTAACCCGACCGCCTATTACCCCAGTTCATACTAAAATGGTACTCGTTGTGCCCTCTCCAGAACTAAGTGCACATACTCGATTAACCCTCTTCTGTGCCTACTTCCAAGCAGCATTTTGTAATGAAGGCTACATTGGAAGGCCTTTCTTTTAGCGATGGTATACACACTTTTACTTTTGATGCCTTTTAATTATGATACCAGCCGTTCCACGTCTGGACTGTATTTACGCTCACCTTATATAACAATAAATTTTGACAAAGAGAACAAGCGCAGTAAGCTGATGTCAATTTCAATGCAGAGCCAGTTTCAACCCGCAGAGGTACACTTTTCAAAAGCAATTCACTCTTTATGGTGTCATTTACTTCAAATGTTGGTATCAGATTTTACTGCAATTTGAACGTATCGATCGCCTGAATGGTATATTTAAATAATAGCTGTGCTCTTAGTAGAGCAAGATAATATTTTAAGGTAGAGATCCAAGTATACTACGTCTTTCTTTGTAAAGTTAATATCAAGAACGCAAGACTCATGATATACTCAGGAAAATTTTGTGTAACATTTGTACAGCAACGCAACAAGCCCGTTTCAATATGTATAAGGATCCTGCTCGCAGGGCCTACCTACCTGAATTTTGATTCTCAACCGGAATGATTTGATTGAGCGATAAGGAAACTATTTTGTATTCAAGTGTGAATGAGAGTTTCTATATAATCATCCAGAATCAAGCTCTTGTCGATTGGAATCAATCCTGCTGCTTTTGATATGCAGTCAACACCTGTCGTAATGTTTCATTGGACCCGACATACAACATAGATTAGCAATTAAAATTTGCATTAACGTTTGTTCTATCGATATTGTTTCTGACTGACAGATACACACTTACTTAGCCCTCGCAATTGAGTGGTTTGCTGTGAACAGTAGGCGCATGATAGAAGTTACATTCAGAAATTTGATTGTCCTTTTAATACACTCTGCTGTCATTAATCCACAGCTGATTTGATCTAAATTATAGCTCGTTAAGAATGATAAAATTCAAGGTAGATATTCGAACATGTTTCGTCCCTATCTGCCATTGATGTGATGCCGGTTCTATTCAGCATTTACGCTCACCCATAGCAGATGTAAATACTGAAAATCGATTAGCGTGTGCGTACATCAATTTGCATTATTTTTTTGGATTTGCAGCCGCATCTTTCCAACACAGATTAGCAATTAAAACTCGCATTAGAGCCCGTTCTATTGGAGTTGTTTTTCTTCTTCTTATAATTGAATGGTTTGCTGTGAACAGTAATCGCATGACAACAGATACAGACAGAAATGGGACTAAAGCTCCTCGAGTAGATCTGATATCATACATCACGACGTCTCACAGGTAAGGAAGGCTCGCCGCCAATACTACTATCGACTTGTTAGGAGAGATATTCTCATGACGGACCGAGACAAGCCTCTCATGCAAGCTTTACCCCTTGCCGTGAACATACCCAAATCCGCCTTTGTGACATGGTAGCAACCAACACGTTCCTGTTCAAATTGCTTGACTATCGTACTATTGGATGTCTCTGTTCAGTGTGTCCCGGAGATAAGACTTTTGCTTCCAGTCACTTTACTTGTATCAGTATCAAAATGAGGCGTATTCTGGCGGGCCCTAACCTACCGCCAATTTGACGGACTCACTACAACAGCTACATAATAGAATCGGCAAAGCTACCACGACATCTGGGTTCTCTGCGAACATCTCGGGAGTTTCCTTCTCCATGAACAGCTGGCACCAATATACCCTCATCCAATATTGGTCAATAGTTTGATGTCACATCTTGGCACAATACTCTGCTGAAGTAATATTTCCAGATTTCAGTACAGACTCATATTCTTGACTTGTGATACCGCCTTTGATACTTCCCGATGAGACTATCCAGTATATTTCAAATGCATCAGTTGTGTGGCGTGATATCGGGCAGCCTCCAACTTTGCTCCGAAGCAGAATTCGTTCAAAAATACTCAGACTAGCTCAGCTCAGATTACCACAACGAAAGTGGGCCAGCTTTATTCCACACAGTGGTACCTGATTTTTAGCTTCCCCCAATGGTGGAAGTATTCTGTATCAATCGTCGTGAATGAACACGCCGTATGTCCTCTATTGTTGCGTCACTCACCCCGAGCTCCTCTCAGCAGTTCGACAATCTTAACTTCCCTTCAATCTTCCCAGAACGTCTACAACGAATATGAAGTCTGATGTGAATGCTACAACGAATAGGAAGCCTGATGTGAATGTAGACATAACTAAAGGGTTTTAGGGTTTTAATAGATTTATCCCTACTATACTCTCCTGTCATTGATCCGCAACCGACTAGATCCAAATCCTGGCTGCGCCATTGGTAAGAATAATAAAAAATCAAGCTATATGCCATCGGTGTGATACCGGTTCTATTCATCAGATGCATATGTGATTTACGCTCATATCATTGCAGATGTGAATAATGAAAATTGATTACCATGTGTGTCTGCATTGATATGAATTTGTAACCTTTCGATTTACAGCCGACAGGTTTCAACACAAGGCCCTCTTTGAACCCGATAGACAACGCAATAAAAGTCCTATAAAAGCATAGCAGCTTTCCCAATGGTATTGCTACTATTCGACAGATTTTCACCAACCACGATGTTATTCTCCGACTTGGACGGTTTAGTTTAGGCTTTTAAAAATGTACAACAATAGGAAAACGCATAAACACGATGTCTTTCTCTATATTTCTACTGTCAAATACCGGTTCTGATCAACAGATGCATATATAGTATACGCTTCCTTCATTGCAGTTGTCAACAATGAAAAATAATGAATGTTTGTGGATATGAATTTGCAACCTTTCAATTTGCAACCTACAAGCTTCAACACAAGGCCACTTGGACCTGGTAAACAACATGATAACGCTTATGTGAGAGTGTCATAACATTTCCAACGGTGTTGCTACAATTTTTGAGATTTTCACTTACCACGACGCTACTCTTCGACTTGAACGGTTTGGTTAAGACTTTTGAAAATGTACAACAATAGAAAAATATACAATCGAGTCGTCTTCCCCTACATGTTGATACCAATTCAAGGTAATTCTGCGTCGCATTGTGTCATGGCATCATTTTATTATAGCATCGTCATTATAATGGTAAATTAAAATTCCGAGGTATAGCTGTTCTTCCTTGTTTGCAGTCCAAATCAACAACGAAAAGTTCATGTTGTGCCTGGTAACCAGCACATTGTAGCAATAGATATGCCAGCTTCACGTGCGGATTCTTGAGTGCTACGGGTCCCAACCCGCTATTGCATACCTGTCTGAATATTATCCATCCACCTGAATTATTGGATTCGAACCCTAAAGAGAATACAGGAATCAAAAGTGAATGAACAAATTTGAAGAACTAAAAAAGAGGTTCGGAGTCGGGGGGTGGATTTGAACATATGATTTTATATTTGCTGCCGACAACACTGAACTCATAGCCTCTTTGGACCCAGTGAGTAGCGATAAACGACTCTATAACAGCATCACAGTCCATTGCTAGTTGTGTTGCGTCTCATCTACAGATACGCACATACTTGGCACTCATTCCCCAACTTAATTTTAGTAATTTGTAATTAATATACAATATAGCTATACATTGATGGAACCCAACTTAATACATCTACAATGTAGCTGTGTCTGGGACCTCGATGTATCAGACATACTATGTCTTTATTTACAGTCAATATCGATAACGCAAGGGCAATGTTGTACCCGGTAATCAACACGATATAACTTTCATGACGGTTTCACATTCCATTACATTAGTGCTAAGGGTCTTTTGATCCCCTAGGTGGGATTCACTTTGAATCCTAGCCCGACCACTTGACTGATTTGATTCGAGCCCTAAAGGGTAAAGACTTCCAGCCGATTCGGGTGTCGATTGGAACTTGCAGCAATTTATTATGCAGATGAAACCTTTCAAAGCAAGGCCTCCATGGACCCGGTACATATTGTAGTCTAGCACAACAAAATTGCAACCGATTATTATTACTATAACTTCTAACTCGCAGATGCAATTCTTACTTGAACGGTTTCTTTCAGGGCATAAGAGTGTAAAATTATTAGAACGAAGTAAACCAACAGTATTCCTTAGGCAAACTTAAGGACCTCAATCGCCTGTCGAATAAATCTGATTTTTACTGTGCAGTTTATATGTGCCGCATCCTAAAGCATTGGTAGAAAATATCTGATTTTCAAGGTTAAGATACAAATATAGGTTTTATTGGCAATCGAAATCACCAAGGGGATGCTCAAATTGTACAAGGTATCCAGTACAGTGAAACATACATTTGATTGCATCACAGCCCGTTTTTGGAGCCGTATGCTCTCAACAAAAAAGCTTACTCACTCCGTTCCTACCCTTCAAGCTGAAGGGGCTCATAACTTTTATTGCAGTGTTTACGATTGAATCTACTTTTGCTGCGCAGTTTAACTGTGCTGCATCCTTAAAGCATTGGTAGAAACGATATGATTTTATAGGCTGAGATAAAAATATAAGTTCTATTGACAGTTGATATCACCAAGGAGATGCCCAAATTGTACCAGATAAACAGTACAGTAAAACATACATTTGACTGCATCACAGCCCGTTTTTGGTGGCGTATGCTCTCAGCAAAATAATGCTTGCTCACTCCGTCCCTACCCTTCAAGCTGAAGGGGCTCATAACAGTAATTGCAGTGTTTAATGTCACATATATCACATTTCTCCTCGTCTATGCAGGTGGCGAACTCACAGCGTGGCATCGAAGTTGTGCGCTAATAATGGAAAAGGTTTACATATTACACACGTACTTATTCGGCATCGATTGTTTTCGTAAAGTTGCGGACCACGTTGGATTAAAGCATAGTCACGTATACTTGATTTGTAATTTCGAATCCAATTGATATTGGCACTATATACTGCTCGATTTTGAATTATCAATGAGTTTGAGCTTCTCTGAAACCAGAACAGATTCCACTCTAATTCTAGATCACACAGTTATACAAATATACATCAAAATAAAGCATGTATCATTGAGAATTTATTGCACATGCTCAGTAGGCTTGACATATAGGTGTGTGGCTACGTTGCCCGTTGCAAAGCTGATCGTGACATCGTCCGAAATAGAGTGGAGACTCAACTTCGGTAGTGCAATCAATCCACAGGCTAATGGACACAACTGGTAGGTGTGCGACTGACTCGACATGGGCAATACCCTCACTTTACTATATTTGTAACCTGTGTTTGAAATGGTATGCAATAGCGATGGTATAAGAAGGCAATTACCGTCATTTCATTCGAATCTATGATGTGGCAGCAAGAGCCACCAATAAATCCACACATCATTGTTCTCAGTGAAGGCGAAAACAATCTCAAAACCAGCTTTGTTCCGGTAAGAAAAAACTAATACCAGCGGCAGCAAAGCCAACTATGTATGCCAGCGGGCGTAGATGCGATTACAGATAAACGTGCTTATATTTTGAAGCGCCGTCCGACACTTAGTTTCTAGTCAAAACACATTGCTTGAGTGCACAGATAGCTGTATCACGATAAGCATCGTCCATATTTTCAACCTTATTGAAACGCTAATATCCGTTGGGCAAACAGCTATGGGTCCATGGTTTTAAAGACGTTCAACCCTATTTATGCAAGCTTACGTAATCGAAGCAGCTGTAGATCGTGCTGTTTGTATGCTAGCCTTCTATGCACATACCTGAAAACATGAATGAATCGCTGGCTTCCATTGTGAATGCCACGTGTTGTACTCTATTCGATTTGTTGAATAGCCGATGTGTAACGGTCAGCGGCGTATTGAGGAAGCCAACCGATGCAATGTCTGTGCAATTGCAGGCAAGTACAGGTAACATGCGAACTCAAATTGAATATGGTTTTGACATTAATGATACTGAGTTTGGATTTTTATGCTTGCCCCACTCAACATCCAAACTCGACGGGCGACGCGACGCGTATGTACGGTACAGCATCCAATGCACAGTGACATAGATGTACAAGTGCCAGATGCCGGCCATATATGTACTGCACTACTCTAAATATCATCGGGTGCGACTACACACTATTGAACAATTAGCTAAGAAAGTAGCGCGCATACATACCTGTTTCAAGTACGAGCGGCTGCCTTTCAATTACAACTGATGGCAACAATATGACAGAGCTGCCCCGTCGATTCTCTTTTGTGCTGTAGCAGTGAAGTAAGGGACAAAATCATTAGGGTGCAAGCACTCGACTGTATAACGAATGCGTATGTCTTCTTATTAGATAAGTCACGAAGGTGGACACAGCACCGAAAGGGCTCTTCCCGTCGCGAACTGATTTGAAGACAAACTTTGCTAACTTAGACACTGTCGGTTGCGAAATTTTTTATAGTAGGGAAAAGAGCTGGGCCCCAGAAACGAAGCCCGACAGCAGGTCAAAAAATCGTGAACTATACGGATGCAGATAAACATGCCATCAACACTCAGTAGGCCGCAGTATTCATATAACACAAGTAATACCTTTTCCAGTGGATGAGCATCTCACCCACGTCCACAACCTTACTGTGTCCTACTGGCAAATCTAGATTGCACCTCAGATACAGGCATTCGCTCCAAGCGTGCTCACAATATAAATTAAAGTCTTTTCGACTGACGTGAGATGTGCCCTGCGCCATTTCTATATCTGAGGATAGCTGCAATTCAGTTGATAACACATCGATCCTGTGCCAGCCGCAGTCACATATGGTGTGAAATTGGAGGGTAAAGTTCAGTAAGCATAAGTGAAAACGGATTGTATAAATCCGTAATTGGTGAGCGGCAAGCAGTATAAAACAAAAAGGCTCCCCAGACAAATATATGCAATAAGCTTGGCAAAAGCTCGCAACAACCGATCATCATGAGCAACTATTATAGATAATGAAAACCTATGTGCAGTGTAGCAGCGATTTCAAGCTCCATTGAAACAATTCCCACAAGCTGTACTAAATTTACTTACTCAAACGGAATTTTGCTGATCGCATCCACCATAACCATAAAGGTGTCTCCAGAGGCGACCGCATCCTCTCGTACAGGCCTATGGGAAATTAAATACGAGTCAGAACTCCAATAGTACTTTGTATGATTTAAAAATTATCCTAGGCATATGTATACAAATCGATTTTAGCTACTGAGCGCTCGACTAAGCGAATGCACGCCACCACACGCCCAATCAGATCAGCCTGAGGGTTTGTTCCATGAGCAAACAATTGCCCATTATGTTACAGCGAATGATACCATGTGTAAGATGAACAAGACAGACATGCGCGCGTTCGAGATGAACAATAAAACAACGATACGTGTACCTAAATTGGTGGGCCACCTTAGCTTGCCATTCGAACGGCTCGATGACTGTCAGTGGGAAAGAGAGCTCACTGACAGTAGCCACCCCTTGGCACATATAAGACAACCGCACCGCCAATGCACGCTCATCCACATCTGTCAAATTATGCAGGAAGAAGGACAGGTCGTGTGTGACACCAGACAACAGTTCAGGCAGCGGCTTCTCCAATGTGTGCGTGAGAGTGTAGTTATCTGCGTTCTGATTGTCCCTGAAATGGAAATGAGCAATAACGCCACGAGCACGTGAGTTTAGATAAGCAGCAAAGGGACGAAAGCGAGAGCCATCTAAATGACGACAAACCATGACTGATAAAATTTCAAGAAACGACACATAGTCTGCGAGCTGGTTGCATGGTTGGTGCAGCAACAACTAAAACCCGACGTGATCGAAACGATTTTGATGTACGAGATGCACACAAGACCATGGATATCAATCAGTATGTATCTGATACACCTGCACGACATTGTCAATGTGCACAGAAAGTTGTGCATACAACACAGAAGGAATAGCACATATAGACAAAGCCTAGTTCAGCACGCGTCGTATTGGGTACACAATGAGTCCTACATACCCATGCATTATTTCAGATTGTACGGAACCGTCGCTGCCGTTTGCAGAAATCGCGTCTGCACTCCATGATAGCAGGCCTCCGCGGAACAACTCGATACTCGCTCTCCTTGCAAGCGCATTCGGACTAGCACTCAGGTCCCGCGTAGACTCCCAGAGCTCGATACGCAAATCAGTGACCATATCGTCTTCATGATTTGTCACCTGTATCAGTATGGGGCTCACTTCTCCAGTGACAGCTGTGATACTATCTAGTTCCACCATACGACCAAAGCCATCTGAACCAAGACCCATGTATTTCCTATTTGAAACCGTTCTGGCCGTCGATTTGGACCGCGCCAGGGTCACATCAACTGCCAAGGCGTCCTCATGCGCCAAATTTTCGAGGGACAAATTGTCTGGAGTACTTCTGGGCGTCGTTGGTTTCTTTATATTCAAGTGCGAAGAAATAGCAGCTTCCAACATATGTCCGGGAACGGGCATTTCCTTCTCTGGCACATCCGCATCTGAGGTGAATGTTATATCCACGTCATTGCTGTTGCTTTCCCTGTGCACCAGCCGCACCTTCATCTGGGATGGCCTGGGGGTGAGTCGTGCGGACCATCGCTCATTATGGAATATGCTCAACGCCTCCGAATGGCTGTTGAGGACATCGATTTCCACCCCTCTTCTCCTATCGCGCTCGTCACATATGAGACCAATACGCCTCCTCGAGTAATCCACTGTAGAATCCGCGCCCAAAGAGCCTGTTGTGCTGTTTACAAGAGTATTGGCACTCCCGCTGATGGAGCGTCTCTGAGAAGTAGCCGGCAAATCCAAGGCTATCGCATTCTTGCCGGGATTCGCACCACTGCCCAGCCCGTTGTCTGCATGGAGTATGCGTGGCTGATCAAAGACTAACCTCGGTACTAAGCCAGCGAAGTGGGTGTCGGCCTGCTCTCCTGCAACCTTGGGAACATCTAACAAATCTAGAGTCAACTCCACCCGGGAAACCTCCAATAGACGGCTACCAGCCGCTCCCCCGGTCGCACCCATAATGAGTGTGTATGTGCGCGGCACCTCAGGAGTGAGTGTCAGGTCAGCGTATGTACGTTCATTGGCTGATACAGTACACACCACCGGCTCTGCAGACAGTGCGCTGGTGTCTACCACTGCACTCAATGGCGTGTCCTGGTGGTGTATTGTACTCCTCTCGTTTAGGGTTGCCTCTGTCATGGCGATACTAAGAGAAGCTAGCTTGATGGTCTGGGGTAGATTTGACACCACGTTGACGGACACACACACTTCGTCCACGATTGTATACGTGGGGCTTTGAATGCACACAGAACAGTTAATTATGGGTAAACACTCACTCATTGCTATTCTCAGAGCGGGAGTGCTTGCAGGCTTATCCATGCTTAACACGTTCGTAGAATCGAGTAGCTCATCGCTTGAAGCCATTGCAGGTGAATCAGATTTGTTTCCGCTGCTTCTAGCGGTGTGGCTTGCTTTCGTGATGATCCACTCCAAAGAACTATCAGCTGGTGACATCAGGGTGAGATCAGAGGACGTGGTGGGTATGAGAAGATTCTCTGCTGACGTGCTTGAATCCACTCCCTTCTGCACGTTTATGTCCCCTAGCGCTCTGGCCAGGCGCAAACAGGCGTCGCGTTCAGCGTGTGAGCCATTGAATGTGCGACTGGAACATTCCAACGCCAGCTGCATGGCGCGGTCAAGACGGCCTAAAGCACAAGCACACACGAGCGATGAGCGCAGTACAATGTCCACTAGTACATCCCAGCCATCTCGTCTGTATTCTACATGAACCTGTATAACAAAGAAAGAGGCCACACAGACGCGAAGCAAACAAGTTGTCAGTCTTACCCTTACGCGCACATACGGACAATTTATTTTGAAAAACCAAGCCAACTGTGGCATTTATATATATTACCTTTTCGTAGACTAAGAAGGCGCGTTCGTAAAGCTGTGCCCTGAGGTACTGATCGGCAATTTGAACAGCTATACACCTGAGTGATAGACATAAAACTAATGAGCAAAGGATCACCACGGGCAAGCTCAAAATAAAGCTATTTTGGGTGAATTGGAAGGTAGATAGTCGCGGAGTGAGAGCACTGGTCACCCACCGACAGCTCACAATCACACAGAATTGAGGAAAACATGCACACACGGGTCATCGATTGCATTTGCATCCAGCATTGCACAGACAACAGTACCACCTGATATGAGCAAGCGGAGATAATCCTCCGACTGAACATACGCTATCCCTACCTTGTCATACGTGCGCATTTGAAGCGTTTGTACTGTATGCGAGCTTGGGCAAGTAGTTCTACCACCTCATTGACAAAGTCAGCCTCTTGCATCTACAGAAAAAAACATGAGAGAAGAATGAGATCAGCAAAATAGTCAGATAAGTAAGGTCGCGTTGTAGCTACACTGACTAACTGCTAATATGCAACCGCGACAAGACAAGAGAATGATCACCTTTTCCCCTTCCCACGTCGATTGCCTACACCCACATCTCGACGAAAGAAAATAAAAACCACTCCGTTTACAGCACAATTTGAGGTAGGCTATAATATTTACCTGCGCAGCTTGTCCGAGTACTTGTATCATCTCTTGGCCGACAAAAGTGTTCGCAGGTTTATTTTCCGAGCCATCGCGATCTATGGAAGCCAGCCTATATAGACTTGCGGAGGCCAGATCCTGGGTACAAGTAGAGCGCAATGGTTTGTATCAGATCGGACATTGCACATGAAGTGTGACACGATTGTAAGTATACTATCGAATTTTCTATAGCGCTTCTGCTGGTCAACGTGGAAGTACGCACAAACTGATCGGACGGTGCGCCGTAGTCTACTGAGGATAGGAATGTTGCCATTTCGAGAAGAACATCCAAGTCTAATAAATAATACACGAAAAATATATATCCGATCGGGAGTGATAAATCAGTGAAACGATGCTTTTCCAACTAAAAAAATCTCCCGGCTCACAAGTGATTCCAAGGTTGATACGAATGAGCTACTACCGAACGATTGGTCAGAGCGAAGAAGTATTTGCTACATACAAACAAGTCCGTCCAATCGGAAAGAAATCATGCGGGAGGCGGGGACGGTCAACACGCGCGCACTTACTGTGTCTACAATTTGTCGATAACAACTGTGTCTCTTGATGGCTACCACAGCTGCCTGACGCAGATAGAAACCGGGGTGATGGCTTTGGTCAGCTTGTACTGCTCCTATGGATACTGCCTGCATTACCAAAACAGAGTTAAATCCGCATAAGTGATATACGTCTCACATCGTTGCTAAATACAAATGCGGTTGTTGAGCCTTAGGATGACGTTCGAAAAGGAGGGTCGAGAAACAAGAACGTCTCAAGAAAAGCTATGGTTTGTAGAAACAGTGTTACTGTAGTCTCAGCCGATTATGAGCAAGCACTCAACACGCCCCGCAGGCTACAAACAGGCGAAGAATATATATGCTCACGAATCGCCAGTGGATTGACACGGATAGTCCGAAACACAGTGTCAGAGTTTTGTGAACTAGGCTGCAAATATATATACTACACAGTCATACGATTGGCAGCCACCATAAAAACGCCTACCAAGCAAAAGGAAGCAGGTAATAGACTAAGAGGGCTAGCGAACATACACACGTACCTGCAAAAAGAGCTCCCCAAACACTTGATATTGTCTGCTGATCCAGCTGAGATGCCGGAACGAATCCACAATGGAATCACTGATAGCCGCCGACATGTTGGCGTGCGGTGTGGCGAGTGTGGGAACTTCTTTGAAGTGCGACAGATGGCGACGGAACAATTCTATGGCCTTCCAATGATTAAGTACTAATTGTAAACTGTATTGCGCGAAAAACAGAGCAAATAGTCATTCGACAGGAATACGATGGTACATGCAAATATACTGTATTCGGTTGTGCATATGTTCAAGTCGAACCAAACATGTGCAGGCTGCCGTCCATATGCACAATAGATAAAAAATAGCTTCTTCATCGATGCGAAAAGGTCTATGAATCAAATAAAGAAGTGCCCTAGCTTAATACCTCTGGTAGCGAGAGTAAGTATATCATCAAACTGATTGATAGCAGTCACCACACCTGCACGAGCGATGGTTGATGAGCCCTGCCATAGCTTTGATCTCATTCTTCTGCACATGTGTCATGGACTGGCTTCGGCTCTGGCGCAGAGTCAGCAGTTCCGAGTACGCGGACGAGTAGTGGCGAATGGCCTCGTGACTGCGAGAGAGGGTTTCATTGAAGAAGGCGAGCTTGAATTGGTGACGGATGGTATACACACTGTATCCTGGCGCTCCAGCCGGCACGCGGTGGCTGCGGATTCGCCCAGCTTGTTCTGAGTAGATTATATGAGAGATGCGCTGAGATATTAGCGTTCTGAATGTGCTTGTGTGTTTTGAGTATCTATAGTTAAGAGCGGGCTCAAGTATACCGAATAATTTCTACCGGCATATCAATGGGCGGACTAGACCCATATGTATGAAAAATCTCATCACAATTTTTTAAATGGGTAGGTACGCCACGGGATACGAGGGTAACCTCGAGGTGAGGTGAATCAATAGTCTAGTAAGCTAGACGCTTGTGCGTACTGAAATCGAATGCATATGCGATTTAAATTGGACATTGCATTTTAGCTATGCAGTAAATGACTAGCGCACGTCTGCCCAGGTTCGCAAGTTATGGATGAGATTGATATAATATACATACCATCGATGGCTGCGCTAGCCAAGTCCTTGAATACGCTGTCCAGCCGGTTGACATAGCCCTGGAATACGTCGGGATTCTTCTCTTTCTCATTTACCGGCAGAATGAACAGCGAATTCTTGCCCTCCACTTCGCACGCACGTCGAAAACTGATAGCACGCACGTCCGCCTGTGGATCATCTGAAGAACACACGACACACGACACTTGAGGAATCAGTACACGGCTCCACACTTCTGAACATCCATGTTTATATCCTTTTGTCCGTGTTTATAATCTTTCTCCTCACTACATTGCAATTAAATAAAGCCATTATTATTCCAGGTATCGCACTGTCTAGAGATCAGAAGGCACGGCATCCAAATGTATTCGACAACTACATCCACATAACGCTAGCTTATAGATCACTGAGAGCACACACCTTTGAGATATGTGATTTGATGCAGCAACACGACCACCAGCTTACACAACCGTCCCTCCAAGCTTTTGCGCACGGCAGTCAAATGAGCGGCACATTCGGATTCCATTCGAGACCAGTATGGATCGTTCCACTCCAATTCGAAGAACACAACCATCACCGACGGTAGTGCATGCATGTGTTTGAACATCCAGTTGCTCTGCGAATATCGAAGGTTAAAAATTTCATGACAAGATATGCATGCTCCCAATTAGATTATTATTTTCAGGGGATGCTTTTGGTCTGGATATAATATTATGTGGGCAAAGAAGATATATTTAATTGGTACCATATCTGCTACTTTGAAGAGTCCACTGCCTGTTCATCTACTCCAGACAGTCGAACGGGTCACTAACCAATAAGTCCAGATGTCGAATAAAAAAAGCATCAATGACTGCTCTACATCTTTCTCTCTCTTATTTTTCCTATCACTCCAAAAACAAACACACACACAACACACGCACACACACACACACACACACACACACACATATATATATATATACCCCGCTATGTACTCATACATCTCTTTATGAACATACATGTATGAATATATACAGATATATTAAAACATATCAAGAAACACACACAGACACACGCACACACACTGACCACACACCGACATACAGATACACACACGCACACACACACACACACACACACACAGACACACGCACACACACTGACCACACACCGACATACAGATACACACACGCACACACACACACACACACACACACATATATATGTGTGTGTATGTATGTTTCATGACAAATATACAAATACAAATACAAATAAAAATACAAATATACTTACATATGTATATAAATATAAATATAAATATATATATATATACTATATATATATATATATATATAT